AGACATTATGCATTTGTTTTCCTTCTCTCTGAATTTTGGTTAATTAAGAGACAGAGGTTTCTAAAATGATGGTTTATTTTACTGACCACGTAAATAAAAAGTGACCCACTTTTGGGTGTTACTTTTTGGAGTTATGATGATTTAAAGCACACATCTTAATGCTTTTTGCTGAAAACTAGAAATAATATCTCCATGTTGAGTCTTATTTAGTACATATTACTTACTCAGAATGCCTACTACATGCAAGCCGCATTCTAGACACTGGGGATGAGATTTTGAACACACACTGCTTTTCTGTAGCACCTCTCAGACATGAGGCCAGGTTAATGCTATAGAGCCTAATGCATGAGTGTCCTGTGAACCCTGGGCTCCTGGCCACAGCAAAAGAAAGCTGACACATCAAAGAACGTTTAAAGCAGAGATAATACTTCTGGAAGGAGATGTATTGACCACAATTCACTAGGAGAAATAAAGGAAGAAGTGATTTCCAGCAATGTGCCAGTATATGCCAGGGTACCAAGTGCTAAGAGCCTGTGGATATAGGAAAGCACCTGAAAGTTTGCCAGGGAGGCTGGAGAGTGGGCTGGAATAAGACAGTGATGGGTCTCCCAGAATGCACCATCACCAGTGAATAAATTATTCAGGACTTTGAACAACTCTAGATGTGATATAATTTATTAGCTTTTGGAGTTCATGAAACCAAAGTTATGGATATAATCTTTGGGAACATGCATGGGTAGACTTCAATTTCAACCTCAGCTAGCATTTTAAAATATGTTCTTTGGTCACAGGGTTATTAGATGGGGATGGAGCTGCATCAATCTCTGTCCTAAGCAACTGCTTGGGAAAAATACTACATATGCTAATTCAGTATAGTACAGTCATACCTCTGCATCCAAAGGTGCTACACTTCAGCCAACTATGATGCAAAATATTTGGGAAATATTCCATCTGTACTGGACACCTGCGAACTTTTTTCTTGTCATCAGTCCCTAAATAATGCAGTCAGTTACATGCACAGTGCTTATATTAGCTTCCTAAGTAATCTGTAGGAAGATTGTATAGAGTTATATACAAATAATACTTCACCATTGTCTTAGTTTGTTCTTTATTGCTGTGACAAAACACTCTGACCAGTACCAACTTGGGGAGGAAAGGGTTTATTTGTCTTATATCTCCCAGGTCACACACAGTTCATCAGGGAGCCCAAGGTAGGAACTCAGGGCAGGAACCTGGAGGCAGGAGCTGGAGCACAGGC